TTGGCCATAAAGTTTAATGAGTAAAAGCTTAGTAAGTACGTCCTACATCCCTAATTAAACTTAAGAGAAAGAATACAGATCTCCTTCAATAACCCTGTAGGGTTTGATATTTTACCTCCTCAGTAGAATATTACATAGCATTAGGAAGCAATAACAAGGGGACAGCTGAACACCCAGTTCCAGAATCAGACCTGTTTTAGATTGTAAGAGAAGAAAACATTTTTTACAGTGAGGGTGGTGAGGCACAGGAACAGGCTGCCGAGTGATGTGGTTGATGACCCATCCCTGGAGATTTCAGTGTGAGGCTGGATAAGGCCCTGAACAACCTGATCTAGATGTGTTGTCCTTGTTCATTGCAGGGGAGTTGGACTAGATGGCCTTCAGAGGACCCTTCAACTCTAAGGATTCTATGATTCTGTGAGATACTACTTTATATTTGTATATGTTGATTTTTTTCTGGGAAACAGAGAGGAAGCAATGTGAGGTTTGCTTATTTTTACACTGGGGGAAGACTCCTGAGGTTTTCATGTGTTCTATTTTCACTTTTGCTGTTTGTTCCTTTTGTTATCTTTCCTACCCCTGTTCTCTAGTCTCAATCATTGTATTAATCAGAAAAGATGTATGTACAGAAACAAAAAAAAACAGTATATTATCTACTAAGATTATTAAACAATGTATCTAAATTATACTAGCAAACTAGCAAATAACAAGTTGTAAAGTGTAGGTATAAGGAGGCTTAAAAACAACTGCTAAATAAAACAGTTGCAGTTGTTTTTCAGAATTTGTCTAAGCTAGAATACGGCCAGACATCGTGTTACACATTTACATGCAAAGATCCTATACAACTTCTGAAGACAAAAGTCAGCTTAGCTGTTCAGATTCCTAAATATATTAAGATAAGGGTATAACACCAGCTGTTCAAAGTGACTGCCATTTCTTAGTATTTAAAACTTTGAAGACATTGTGCTACCAAGTTATTATATTGACTGTCTAATTATGACTTCTGTCCTTCAACTCAGTGGAAGATTAAATTTTTTTGAAGCTAATATTTAAACTAATCTTCATTAATTGCTGCTGTAAACTAGTTAATGGCTTCATTACACAAATAGGTAAGGAGACAAAAACTCAAAACAGAAAAGAATATTCTAAAAAGATAACTAATAATGTTGGTTAAAAGCTTTTCTCTGTTCTCTTCAAAAGTCAGAATTATTTGTTTTCCCAGGGAAATTCCTGGCTGTGCATTTTTTAACATTTTGTTTAAAAAAAAAAAAAAAAAAAGAAGAAGAAGAAAGAAGAAAAAAGGGGGAAAAAAAAAGGACAACACATAGGTGTGTAAGCCTCTTAGTTATTAAACCTGCACATTTTAATGATGAAAAAACACAGCACTGCATAATCTATCTAGAGGCGTGTGACAGCACATCAGGTTTTTGGTACCTTTATTTATGCACTATCAGGTCACATTAGCACCACTCCGTAACACACTAATGTGCAAATATCTCTTGAAGACTAAGAAGTGATCTCCTCATGAAGTGTATTTATAACCACTGCACTGCAAGGGCACACAGTTACCGATCATCCTGACTCCCCATGATGTACCAATAGAGGCTCCTGATGTGCCAGTACATCAACTTGTCAGAAGCAGCTACAGCAGCATTAAATAGCAGCACTGTGAGCAAGCGGTCAATGGAGTTGCAGTGCTGAGTGTACATAAAAGTTCAGATCAGTATGCTGCTGCTGAGGAAGCACCACTTCAGCTGCTGACCACGTTTGCTGTATTATTAGATGGCAATGCAGTGAGATAAAAAGAACCACTACAAAAGCAAATGCCACACAATACCATATTATATACAGTTCTTGGATAGAGCAAAAAAGAATAACAACAGCCCTCTTTCCTGCCCATTGTTGTGAAGAACTGAAACCTCATTTCGAAACACTTTGCTGTGCCAAATTCATGCTCCAGCTGTTAATTTCAACAGAATTTAAAGCTTTGCCTATTCCTGGTCTGTAGCCTCATTGTCTACTTAGCATCATCTCATCAGTTCAACAAATTCATTTGGTCCTTTTGTTAAAGACCTATGGTTATATGGACTGCTCTTCCACAGATCAGACCTACCTTCTGTATTGCATGCTTGATTGTGTTAGCAATTTTTTTTTATCTCCATAAAATCTCTTCAATAGTTGAAAATGGAAAATAACTTTCTATTATTCACTGCATCACTCTGCCCTAAACTTTCTTTGCTATTTACCTCTTTATGGCAAGGTCTCTCTTTACTGTCTATTCAATAGAGTAGCACAACCAGTTCTCTGCCAACCCACCTTTTCGATTTCTTTCACTGAACTATTCAAATCTGCATCCTCATCATTTCTTCCAATGATGCTTATCATCAGACCTTTGTGCTGAGGAACTGGAGCTAATGTGAGCTTATTATTGTCATGCCCTCACCCTAGTATTTAGCTGCAGCATCTCATGTGTTATTACAAATCTTTTGTCATATAGGAAGACTTCTAAAATAAAGGAAAAGTAGTTGGATCAAGCTCTCAAAAACAGTGACATAAGAGACTGAGTTGCCATGACAGTTTGAAGATTACCTTCTATAATTTATTCCTTCACTGAATTACTACTGCACTAAAGTAAAACTCAATTGTAATGATACACAAAAACACAAAAGCAGCTAAGAAAACACATGAGCAAACGTCTAACTTTCCCCAATATTTGTGCACTTCCCTACAGTATATGTTTTACATTTCGCATTTTCAATGTCCCTGGTATCTTTAAATTCTGTAATTACTAAATCCCTTTCATTTATTAGCAGGATTTAAAAATCGTATCTTCAGTCTATTACCACTGTTACAAAACTGTAGTACCAGAAATCTCTCATCTCACGACAGCCCTTTTCTTACTGCAGCATGTTGTTAGAGGGAGCCTGGCCCATTCCCTCTTCTCACAACAGGCATTAAGCAGCAGCACCTTAAGCGAAAGTCTATCATTAGCTCTAATTTCCTTCACCAGCTCCCAGACATTCCCCTATGTGGTGTTCACACTGGGAATGAGAAACCTCTCACAAGGTCTTTCCTGTTCAGAAGTTCTTTTGGCAGATTTTTCCCACGGACTGCAAATAGAGGAGTGTAATACTTTTGATAACCAGCATTAAATAATACCAGAATTTCCTTGAACAAAGAAAATGAATTTACTCTACCCACATGCTTTGACCTGCCAGTTGCTAAATAGATAGATACACAATAGACATTGAGACTTATCACGGAACACTAGGGATGGAGAAGGACAGGAAGGATTTGACACTGACCACCACAGGCCAGCTGAATGTCATCAGAGATTGTATCATAACTCAGCAACCTTATCTTCTGGCTCCACTAATAACAGAGAAAAAATTGCCTATTATCTGTATGCCAAAGGTTCAATCTATTGCTATTGATCGAAATGGCAGACATATACTTCAATTATTTGCTGTATTGTATTAATTAAACAGGAGAATGATGGGAGCTTTTCACTAGCCTCTCAGCAGGAACATGTATTTAAACAGCATTCTATTCAGAAGGATAACCATCTGTAGACCAGCTCTGCAAGCCTGAACCCCAGCTGCATTCATACTTTAGTATCTTTTTTCCCAGACAACAGAAAACAGATTTCATGTAGCAGCTTGAAAGCTGCATGCAACTAGCAAATCTTCTGTGCGTGACCTGCAATCTTCTTTATTGCGGTCATGCTCCATAGAATCAGTCTGGGATTGCTGTAGCATTTCCCTCAGCAAGATCTGAATGTTCACAAGAGGTCGCACATGCCAGCCAACCCAGCTTATGACCATCCACCCCAGATCCAGCTGCTATCCCAAGTGCATTCTGCATTAGGGAGAAACCATTGGAAGATTTTGTATCCAGGCACCACACCAATGTAAGGATGAGGCTCAACATTTGAAGGTACAGGCTGGGAACAGCTGCAGTTCAACATGTAGCATGAAGAACAGAGAAGAAACAACCAGGAAGCTTCCTCCCCTTCACCTGTAGCCAAAAGCTGACAGCTTTAAAGTTTTCCAATTCGATATCCAATATGATCAAAATTTTAACAGCCTCTGTGCAACTGCATTAATATTCAATCTATGTCATGCTCAGATCAAACAATTTTAAAAGAATTAGTCTTACGTTTTAGATCTCATGGACTATCCAAGCAGAACAAAATATTCTGGTAGATACCCACAGGAATATCAGAGGAAACAAGTCCTTTAACACATGAAATAACACTTCAAAAAACATCATGAAACCAGTATGATCTGTGATAACAAAACCACCTCCTCTATAGCTTAAAAGAGACACAGGTAAGAGACAGAGGGTACCCCTACAGAAAATAAAAGCAAAGAGAATTTCTAGACTCAGAATGCAGGCCAGCTGGCCTGAGATTGCTTGCTCATTGTCACAGCTATCTGAGATACCAAAGCAGATATAAAAAACCTAATGATTAACTATCACTTAACATAACAGTGATCCATTTTTTCTTTTGATAAGAATTGTCACCTTACAGTCAAAAGCGATGCTCTGCTAGAACAGTCTGTTTTCCTTTTACAATTGCTGAGTAAACAAAGTAAATGCAAATATATGCCAAAAAAAAAAAATGAGTTGACATTTGGTTTTGTTTTTTCACTTTTTTTCTTTTCTATATATAGTAAAACCATAAAAAGTTGTCCTGCCAGCACTCCCACTGTCTACCTGCCTCTGCAGACAAGCTGATAAACCACAGGAGTGGGTAAGTTTACCACCAAGATGCAAACTTGTTAGTAGCTGGCAGCACCAAATGCCAGAGCCAAGCCAGAAGTTTCTTTTAATTTTTTTCTTTATCTTTTTTTTTTTAAAGAATGCTTTTAGTAGGATGCAGGTGATAAAAAGACAGTCCACAACAATAGGGACAAACCATACTGTTACAACTATCCAAAAAGCAACAGAATTAAGAGTGAAATAAGATCAAAAATGGTGAGTATACATGACTGTACCTTGGTCTATCATTTGGAAGATAAAATTTATCAGTGCAAGCAGTGCAGCTTGTCTACTATATTTAGGGCTAAAACCAGATGGATTCAGTCAAGGAAATCTGAGGATTCTAGATGCCACCAGTCGCCTTGCGCACAAGCTTCCTTATAGCTTTCCCTAAAAAACAAAGAAATTCAAGACAAAAAAAAGGTGAAATTTTTCCTCATCTAAGGTTAATTTTTCAAGCAGGAACAAAACTGTTGACCCCATTAAGCAAGAAAGCACCTTGTTCTCTCAATCTCTTTCAATAACAGAAAAATACCTTCTCAATGGACTCTCCCAAACTTCTAAGAGTGTAAATCGAAAGCTTCAGCCCAGAACTCTCCAACTCTTCTGCTCAATTCCACCTGTTTAATTTGCAGACACTCAAGTGATTTTCCTGTCTCAAACTCTTAATCCTAAGGAGGTAAGAATTATTTCTTGAATTACCAGACAGGTACCAAAGTTCACTCCTGATCTAGGTAACAGGAAGCCCTTTGTGCAGCCATTGAAGGGATTCAGCTCAGATTCACCAATTCACCCACCATCAAAAACCATTCAACAGAATGCTTGTTGAAGCAGAGTTTTTAGAAGAAATGAGCTGATTCACTCAAAATTTTAAATGGACCCCAGAGCATCAGTCTATAGGATCTAGAGAACAGGTGCCCCTTCTCTTTCAATGAAAGGTAGGATCTTCTTCATGAAAACTGAAAAAGTGAAAAAAGGAAAAACAAATCACACAAGCATTAAAAATAAAATGCTCTATTTCATAGAAGCAAACTGTATGTCTGTCATCAGAACATAAAGAGACAAAGTTAAGGAAACCATTTTATTAATACTCAAACCAGAGAAGACCAAGCTATCAATCCCTCATCCCGAGTCTGTATAGCATCAAAAAGAATAATTTTGTGGAACCTTGTGGAAATATATTTTTCATTTTAATTTGTTTCTTTCAATTTTCTTCCAAAGCCTTTCTTTTCTAGAAGATATATTGAAAAGCAAATAGATGCAAGTTCTGAATAGGAAAAAGAAAATATTACACATGGAAGAATGATTTCAATGCTTACACATGCTTACATTTATATTTTTAGATCTTTAAAATTCAGAAAGATGAGTTGCTGATAATACCTTTTTATGAAGGTATTTGTCATTATGTGAATTTAGTCCAGACAACAGCAATCCATTCAACTTAGTCACTCAGGGGTGTGTCTGCATGCATCCTACTCATGGCAGAGCTTACCTTCTACTTACATCTCTGCTATTAAAAGCAGCACTTTTAATAACTAGTGAATGCAAATCAAGCTCATAGAATTATTGTGGTAAAAATGAAGCAAGTCCTATTGGAATGCAGACTTATCATAACTCCAGCATAACTTCCAAAAGCAGTAGGGCTATGATAATTAACACTGGCAGAGGTATATGTGACAACCTGAAAAGAATCATTGTATGCAATGAATAGCCTGTGAAAGGTAAATAAAGCATCAAATGAAGCAAGCTAAGTTTTTGAGCACCAGATCCGCAAAGAGAATTGTTTTTCTAACTGAATTTAAATCCACTTCCCAACTCTTCCATTGCCCTTTCCTTAAAAAAACAAGGCTTTTCTAAATGAAATCCCATCCCATAAAACTCGCCATGCAAAAGCTGAGTGGCAAGTAGACAAAGGCAATTATTATTAAAGGGCAATTTGTAAGTGAAAGTATATAGGAATATATCTGCAATTAAGATGAGAAACCAAAAGCTACTAAAATTAATATCTTGCATAGAATTCCTTGCAATAGTATATAAATGCAGTGATCAATGCAGAAAGTACTTTCAAGACTTTGAGCACTCTTGTACACTTTCTGGCTTAAGAATTTCAGATGCTCATTCTTTTTTAATACAATCAGTGATTGCAGTGATTTGAGTAACAAGTAAATTCATTCTCCTTTACACCATTTTGCCACTGGGAGACCTCACCTAAGCATTTATTGGCAGCATCATTAAAAGCCTCTCCAAGATTCAACTTCATCATTCAGCTACTATTCTTAACCAAACCCCTGATAACTCTCTTCCTACTCAGGGAGAGCAGAAGTATCAGAGCTCACTGTCAGTGGGTTTAGAAAACAAAAGCTCTCATGACTTAGGAGAATCTGCTATCCACTGGGCAAGGATATTGTGCCAATATATTGTACAGAGTACATAAAAAAGTATTCTTAGAATAAATTGTTACTTTTTTTTTGTAAAGTTATTTCCAAATTCAAATATGTGTTTTCACATACCTGTCAGAATTGGTTGTCTAGGTTTTTGATGGCCTTTGGTATGTAGTATTCTCTGCAAGCATGATTTCTAGTGAAATCATTGATATATTGATACAAATATGAGTTTTCACTAAATTGAAATGAAGAAGTTGTATTTGTGGTATAGCCACGACTTCAGAGTGATGAAGTTTTCTTTAAAAGCAGCAGTGTTTTCTGTTTGTCCTACAGATACAATTGTGGACAGAGTAGGGAAGAGAACAAACCTACCTACAAGAAAACAAGAGTTTCTTAAAAGCCTGTAAAAAGACTTAGGGAGGTATCTGTCCTCCCTTTTTGGATATTACCTATCAGAATGTTACTTCAATCCAAGTAACTTGTCTTATGACCTTGGATGACTGCGCTAACACTCAGCTCCATTATGACATTCAAAACCATTCTATATTACATTGCAGCATTCCAGAATTTTCTGATTAGCCAAACAGCAGAAGACAAGCAGCAGAATCTAGTAAATTACCATCAGCAAGTAACAGACTGCCAGAAACATACTACCATTTTGTAACAAAATGAGAAACGTGAGTACTATGTGCTGTAGTGGAATCAAAAATGGCCACAGGATAAAAATACTTGGTAAGTTTTAGCTGTGTCTTACCAAAGCCTTTAGAGTGATAAAACAAGATGCAGCAATTAGTCCGCTGATTCAATTTTTATCATAATCCTGAAAATTTACTGTTATGATGGCTATTATTAGCATTTAGTTATACAGTAGCAAATACACCATAAACAATGACTATTATCAGTATTTTCTGAAAACTCATATTCTGCTGTTCTCCCAACCTCTGTAGATTTTCACACCAACAATAGCTGTTCTTTTGATTACAGCTCTGGTCTGCGTGACCGATTTCTTATTCTAGGCTGAAAAGCAAGGCGATTGGCTACATAAAATGCTGAATACCATAGCAACTGACTTGCAACCTTGCTAGCATGCAGGAAGGATTTTGTACTTGAACGAGAGCTACAAGTGAAAACACCAGGCTAAGAGCAGACCTGACGTAACATCAGCAATGCAACAGAACAACACAAGTCATTTAACCTCTCCCTAATCTTTCCCCATTCATACCTTTCAACTGCAAAGGGCAGCAGCAAATCTTCAGATTCTCATTAAATACAGTGAACAAGAAAAAATGTGTGCTATGGTATTGATTCAACATATAGATCTACCCAGTGCAGACTGTCTGCCAAAACAAATAGGATTAAATATTGAAAAATCAAGTCATGGAAACAGAGCAATAATAGATGTTGACCTTTAGTTTTAATTAATAATCTTATCACTCAATATTGAAAAAGATTAGAAGTTTCTAAAGAAACATCTCAAAATATATTTAACTCTACATTGCCCATGTTAGTGGCTACTTTTATGAACGCATCAAAGTAGTCAAATGGCTACTAATAAAAACAATCATTTAATGACAACACCCTGTAAAATCTGCATCAGGTTTACAAGAAAAATATAGGAAGCAGAATATTGCTCTATGAAAAACAGCAAAAGGCCTTCTGCTTCTGGAAAGCAATGCTCTTTTAGGCAGATGAAGCTCACGGTGTTTGGGCTTTATAGGCCAAGAAAAAACCCAGCTCCATCACTCTTTGTGCACTGACTGAAAAGGAATTCAAAACCTACCATGAAGTAATATATCAAGTGAAGAGGACCAAGTACAAGACCTACAGCACAGCTACCTACGCTGCTTTTAAACCAGAGACGTGAGTGAAGTACATAACTCTATAGCATCAGATTAAATTACTTAACCTCTACAGGCACCATTCCCAGTGAGCTCCCACTGATACTAAAGAGTGCCATCAGCCACCCACACCCACAGAAGTCCAAATTCTTGTTTGTATTAAAATGAGGGGAGGGGCCTTTACTGGCCTGAATCTGAAAATACTAACTACCAATGAAATAAAAAGCGTTAGGGGAATTTTAACCTACTGATTTATTTGTCTCCAACAGAAAAAAAGACAAAAAATTCTTAAGAACCTCTGACCCTCAAATTCAGGCAGCCTGTCAGGGAGTTTACAGTCACAGGAAACACTTTCATCAGAGAACAGACATACGAAATAACAAAGCATAATTGGGTTTTGGAATTAATTTCATTGTACTGCTAAATTGCTTGACAAGTTCTACTCATGTTGCTGAAATCAGGCACAGCTGTTTTAAGTCTGTGATGTATCAGAACTCAGACATAAAATCAGTCTAGTTGTAAATAAACATTTGTACTCAGTATGTACATAACTCCAGGTATAGCTGCGTTTATAGTATGTAGGGTGTACGTGCACTTTGTTATATGCCACTGATACATACGTACCCAAATCAGAAAGTATGAAGACACCTTAAACAAAGGCCCTTCTTTATCTTCTCAAAATGTGGAGTTGTTGGTTCGTTTTGAAGTCACACTTTTATTTAGTTCACATCATTCTGTTAAAAAGTGCAGTATCCTCCAGCTTGGCAGATCTTTGCCATTTTTCTATCTCAAACAGAAACAGGAAAAGCAAGACAAAGAGAATTCTGTTTCTCTAGATTTTATAAACGCAGAAAACTTCCAACGTTTCCCTTACCCATCAGCTAACAGCACTTGAAAGGTAGATCATAATAGAAGGGACAACAGAAGGGATAACCCCCATAACTTCAACTTTCAGAATGAGATAGTTGAGTTTGTTTTGATATACCTTTGTTTTGTTTACGAGTACGAAGCAAGGAATCTTTTTTTATTTGAGCTTTTAGCTAATAATTCACACACAGACAACAGCACTTGTTTTCTGGAACGTGCAAAATGGTCCTCTGTGTTTAGTACTACTTGTGCAGACACATTGTCTAAAAAGGCAACATATATATATGCTGGAGATACTGACATGCAGCTGTAAATATATCCCTTTCACATACAGGATCAAATTTTGTTCTCATACCAATAATTTTATTAAACTTCAGTTTAAGTGATGATTTATTATTACAATTTCCCAAAAACACAGTAAATTTCCTCTGAAGAGCTTATCTCTTAACACAGAAATGAAGAGGAAAGACAGGAGAATGGGCCAGAAGTATGTTTATTCATTCTGTGTACACACACACACACACACACACTCGGTCTTGCCTATACAAATTAGAAAATGTAGATCAAGGACAATAAATTATTTTAACAGCAAAGGTCAGTCTAAAAGAGGGCTGGGATACAATTTTTTTTCTCTGACCTCAGCTCTGAAAGAATTTTTCCATGCACAAAAAGGCATGAAAGAAATGACAAAGATACAGTACTGCAGCAGAGATTCAGTGAAGGACATAATGATAAGGCCAGGAAATTAGTTCCCAAGACAGGATACAAAATGAAAAAGTACCCTAATCACTAATGGTCAGACAATGGCTCCAGTTGCAGTGTTTCAAAAACTCTGGCAGAGGGTATGACAAATGCTCAGAAAGCAGGAGAGGATGCTGCTGTTATCCTTTACCCACATAGCAGAAGGGTATTACTTAAATATAAGTACTGATACTGTTCTTGTAGTAGTAATTATTATGATAAAACAGCTATTTCACAGAACTGCCAAGGTTTCTGTAAAAAAAAAACAAATTTAATGTGTACATATTTGCATGTTAGGCTGCTTGAAGAACAGCTGGAGGCAACTCATTAATATGAAGAAAACTCAGAGCACTAAGGTAGTATAACTTGCTCCTTCAATAAGTAGTATTGATGATACAGCTAGGGCCCAAGAAAAGTATTAAAGAAATATTAAACATGAAAGGGAGTGTCTCAGTAGAAGCACAGTACAATCTACTAAAAAAAACACCAGTCTTGTTACAGTGTTCACTGCAAGAAAATACCCAAGCCATCATACAGATGTACAGCACACCAACTCTTGTATTTGCACATTATTCTAACCTTTCTTTCATTTGGAATGAACCCCATTCCTTCCAACAATATTTAGACTTCTGAGTTCAAAAGTGAGTTGACGTAGGCAGTTGAAGGTGCTCCACAAACCACGTGAAGGCGTTTGCCCAGTTAGTCTCACAACAAGCTTTATAAAACGAGGAATTAAAAAAATTGGTAGGAAAATGCAGTAGCACAAAGGTACGTCATCAGTCTGAAAGCTCATGGAATTCCCTAGTGTGATACACAAACATCAGCATGACTGTAGAAGTATGTAATATCAACTCTGCTTTCCCTGTTATTAAAGTGATAAATCACAACAGTGAATTTAGCATTTTTGACCAAAGACAGTTGTTGTGTTAGTGGGTACAGAAGAAAGTCAGTGCCATTTCATGCAGTTTTCAAAGTCCAGTTAAAAAAAATTAACAAAACAGATGGCATGTATAAGAGTTGCTCAGCAGGTGAGAGACAGAAAAAGAAACAAAAATAGAGAAAGGGCTAGATGGCTTTAATTTTATTGTAAATTCTTAGGGTTTGGAAAATCTCAGGCTCCAAATAGCAATGCTTTGTACATGCAGCAACCAGATGTGCCACTTCCTCTAGGAGACAGTTGTTTTCAAAATCACTTTTATTCACTGCTTGTAAAGTTACACAGTACAACGAAAGAACTGTACACATCTTTATTAGATTTGCTTTTTGTGGCTTCTGTGGTCCATTGTCATAATGGCTCCCCTGCAACCAGCCATCTGGGATGAAAACGGAAGTGATAGGCGCCCTTACCTCTAAATCCATCTTCAGAATCAACATCATGGATGCTCTCCCCTTCCATGCTGTCTATAGATCCAGCAGAAAACAAGATCTCTCAGAGGTGACTTGCTTAGGATCCAGAAGGAAGCTGAATCCACCCACTCTGAAGCCAGTGAATAATATCTTTCAAATAAAAACATAAAAACAAAGCCATTGATCCACTTCAGGTATACAAAGCAACAGTAATTTTATTTTTCCCTTAAGCCCCAATGTTTCAAAACTGAATGTCAGTTTGTTCCAAGTCCAATATCTGAAGACTTTATAACAAAATAGTATAAAACCTCTAACCCACATAGAGTACTTGCATCAGCCCAAATTCCAGAACTACACTGAGATGAAAGCCTCAGCACAGATTCAAGCTACTTTTCATATGGCTTGACATGACTAGAAGTGGGCAAAAATGAGGCAATATACTACCTATCTCCAGGACTAGCTCTTCTCTGGCACCATAATAAGATCAAATAACGTACAGGTTACAAACAGCAGCACAGCCTGAAAGTGCACATCATGTGAGCTGGCTTTCTTAAGACTACACTTAGGGTCTACTTTAAAATTAGGTAAAGAAAGCATCTCAGTTTAGTAATGGACTTCATTTGCAGATGAAGGTAAGAAGAGTGTAAAAATGAGTGTGGACAATGGAAGAATAACATCCCTTGGTATGTTTAAGAGAAAGACAATTAAGGGAGCAGTACTCTTTCCTC